AAGCATGAACAATCCATATCAACAATTTTCAAGAATCATATAAACATATATAAAACTTGAAACTTGATAATATCTTTGAAATTGGTTTACCATAATCATTACCACATTAAAAACATGTTTTATAAGTCCAAACAGTTTAAGGTAATGATTCTAGACCAATTCCAGCCTTAAAAGTCGAAAATATGATGTCAGGGGCTTCTACTCGTCGAGTGTATAAACCTACTCGATGAGTAGGATGAATTTCTGATGGGTTTTATACAAACAATCCTATGTGTGCATGCAACCCTAGATACAAATCTATGTTTTCACTATTAGTTATACAACATTATGAACACAAAAGAAACCTAACATGCTCCTAGGAAATTTCGAAAATCATAAAGGAGAATGGAATACATACCTCTTGTTGTTATGTTGTAATAACAATCAAATCTTTGAAGATCTTGAACTTTGATAGCAAGCGCCATAAGTGTCACGCCTCTAATGGCTCACAAACAAACCTAGCAACCAAGGATTACTATGGAGAGACAAGGGAAGTGGAAAATTCGGCCCTAGCCTCTCTTAGAGTGTCCTTCCACGAAATCCAACCCTATAAGGGTTTATATAGGTGATAAGGAAGGTTTAGGATAAGGCAGGTATATCTTAGATAACCCTAATCCCTTAACTTCCTCCCTAAGGCTTCCAAGGCACCCTTAGACCCCAAGGAAACCCTAGGACACTCTAGATTTCATTCCATCCCTCTAAGGGAGGTTCTAGAATGCTCAATACTCAACTTTTGAACATTGTCACCTTTAGTCCCTGCAGTTTTAATTAATTCCTTTAATCCCAAATCTAATTCCAAATTAATTTCTGATTAAATATTAATTAAACAATATGATTTCTAATTAATATATTATATCCATAATACATTAATAAATTAATTTATTAACCAAGTAATAAATTAATAAATCATTCTTCTCTCTCCAACAATAATCCTATTCAATTGCCAGGTTTGAAGGCAACCCAAAAGGACATTGCTACTATCAGTTCAAGTACATACCAATTATAGTTATGTGCTTAGACATCTAATCCAACAGTCTCCCACTTGGATAAGTCTAATAACTATAGTTGTAAGTATAACTTCAAAATTGACTAGCAATTTTTAGCTACCAAAAGCCGCTGTCGAACTCTGATCTTATCAGTGACGTGTCCTTAAGATAAGGGATCATATATTCCTCCATTCTAGATATCGTATAGACTGAGACATGTATTTTAATCATTCTCTCTGTCTATGTGTTGTTTCCCGATTTCCGATTTATGACGACTGACAACAGATTACAATTGAACACATCAACTTTGTCTCGGCTTGGCCAAGCGCTTAGGGTGTCATCACTAAATCATCGAGGGGCCCACATATATCGCTTTTATCCACTTTCGGTAAAAGGAACGGATAAACTACGACTCCAATGCTCGCTTGTATCTACTCATCAAATCACACACAACAATATGTTTTATAACACCAAGTTACT